CCCTTAGCTTACCAAGGGTTACCCCTGGGTGGAGAGCATCCAGCTGGGTGCCTCTGAAATCTCATTCTGCTTGCAAAGAGGTAGAACAAAAGCAGGCCTGCCACGGAATGGAAGACCACCATTTCTTTCTCTGCCTTTTAAGCATACATATAAATCACCTTCCTCATTACATATATAGTTGCCATAATTTTGTATTTCTTTCAGTATTGTTGCATACCCAATTTTTTTCTTAGGAACCAGTTTAATTGTCAACACCAGTTTTCCCAGACCCTCAGGATTGCTCACATCAGAAGCCTTCAAAACACAACACATGGCCAGGCACAGTGGCTCACACCTGTAATCCCAGCACTTTAGAAAGCCAAGGCGGGTGGATCACTTGAGGTCAGGAGCACAAGACCAGCCTAACCAACATGATGAAACCCCATCTCTACTGAAAATACAAAAATTAGCTGGGTGTGGTGGCAGATGTCTGTGGTCCCAGCCACTTAGGAGGCTGAGGCAGGAGAATTGCTTGAACCTAGGAGGCAGAGGTTGCAGTGAGCTAAGATGGTGCCACTGCACTCCAGCCAGGGCAACAGAGCAAGACTCTGCCTCTAAATAAATAAATAAATGAAACACATGATTGTTTGTGAGCTAACATGTATTTATAGACATAAATGTTTTTCTAATTTTTTCATATCTAGTGAGTTCACTTGGTTAGAATGCCATCTTAATAAATAAGCTTAATACTCATATTAAACAGCTACCTTGCTTTAAGCAATCTCAGATATATGTACTCATCCTATGATAATTTGGTGAAAAAATTGGGAGATTTGTCCAGTAAATGTGTTAGAGTCCTACAATACACCAGACACAGTTCTCCATGCTGGTAATCCAGTGATAAGGAAAATACACACAGCCCCCATTCCTGTGGAGCACATCACACAGTGGAGCACGTGGAAGAAATTACGTCACAAATACAATGATGTAGTAACATATTGTGTAAATGCTGTGAAGTCAAAGTGCAGAGTACTATGGGATACTATAAGAGAATGTCTTAGTTCATTAGGATATGCTATAACAGAACACCGTAAACTAGGCAGTTTATGAACGGCAGAAAATTATTCTCCACATTTCTGGAGGCTGGGAAGTATAAGGTCAAGGCACTAGCTAATTCCATGTCTGGTGAGGACCCACTTTTCATAAATGGTAACTTCTAGCAGTGTTCTCACACAGTGGAGGGGCTAGTGCAGCTCTCTAGGTCCTCTTTTATGAAGGCAGTAACCTCATTTATTTGGGTTCTGTCTTTCAGACATAATCACTCCCAAAGGCACCACCTCCTAATACCTTGGGGGTGAGGATTTCAGCATATGAATTTGAGAGGACACAAACATTAAGATCATAGCACAGTGTTACCTAATTTCAGAGGGCAGCCAAGCCATTTTTATGGGATAATATTTCAGCTGATAACTAATGGATGATTTGTGGTTAAATTGATGGAAAAGGAAGAACATTTAAAGTGCAGTAGCCCGCTCTTATCCAGGTTATGTTCCAAGACCCCCAGTGAATGCTTCAACCTACAGATACTACCAGACCCTATATACGCTATGTTTTTACCTGTACATACACATACCTATGATAAAGTTTAATGTCTAAATTAGGCACATAACAAGATTAACAATAACTAACAAAGAAAGCAATTACAGCAATATACTGTAATAAAAGTTTTGTGTATGTGGCCTCTCTCTCAAAATACCTTATTGTACTGGACTTACCTATTTTTGGACTAGGGTTGACCACAGGTAATTGAAACTGTGGAAAGCGAAACCACAGAACTGGAGGGCCTACTGTAGGGCAAACTGCCTGCAAGGTGTCTTAAGGAAGAAAAGAGCTTTCCTCTGTCAAGCAGCTGAAAGGAAGCTGATATAACTGGAGCAATGTGAGCACAAGAGAGACTGCTGGGAGCTGTGTAGGAGCTGGAGGCAGGAGTCCAAGTTTGAATTTCATTCTAGATGCAGTAGGAGGCAAAGCAGAGGCTTTGCATTGGCATTGCAGTCATCTCAGTGAAATACAGTGGCAGCTGGGACTTGGATGGTGACAATGGTGATGGTGAGAAATAAAGAGATTTGATGTGCTGTTTCAGAAAGAAGGAAGACTAGACAGAGCAGGACCGAGGTGGCTTGTCAGAGGAGGAGCCAAAGAACTGATGACTGCTAGAAATGTTCAGTTTGAACATGTGACACATTTGTAGATTTATGTAACGTTGTTGGTTAAATATATGAGTCTGTATATTTAGAAGAGAAGTGAAAGTGATCAGTTCTACTGATTCGTTTTTTTGTTTTTGTTGTTGTTTGGTTGGTTGGTCTTGAAATGGAGTATCACTCTGTCTCTGAGGCTGGTGGGGTGTACCAGCGCCATCTCTGTTCACTGCATCCTCTGCCTTCTGGGATCAAGCGATTCTCCTGCCTCAGCTGATTAGTTTTTTAAAAGGGTCTTGAAAACAGTAGCTTCAATTGATGGTAGATCATTAACATCATCATTTCATATTTAGACAGTAGGCCTTTTCTATATAGTTCTCAGCAAACATGCCTGTCATGAGCCAGAATTTTAAAGGATGTAAAAGAATAATAAACAGAATTTCCCCATATGTTACTGCTGCATGGAAAATAAATCTACATATAAGACTGTAAGTGCTTGTATCTTAAGGGAAATATTAGTGTTTAAGTAAAACTCCAGTTTGGTAATGTTTAAGTACTCCTTTTTCCACAGGTTGACTTTGCAGATAGGATAGCTATGATTTTTTTTTTTTTTTTTGAGATAGTCTCACTCTGTCGTCAGGCTGGAGTGCAGTGGTGCAGTCACGGCTCACTGCAACAACTTCTGCCTCCCTGGTTCAAGCAATTCTCCTGCCTCAGCCTCCCAAATAGCTGGGATTACAGACGTGTGACACCACACTCAGCTAATTTTTGCATTTTTAGTAGAGACAGGGTTTCATCATGTTGGCCAGGGTGGTATGGATCTCCTTACCTTGGGATCCATCCACCTCAGCCTCCCAAAGGCTAGTTATGATTATTATGTCCCCTTCCACCTCCTTCTATAAGGGCTGTAGCAAAAAGAGATAGAGAGAACGAGAGAAAACAAAGAGGGAGGGAAGAAAGGGAGAAAGGGAGAGAGCTAGAGAGGGAAGAAGGAAGGCAAGGGAAGGAGGAAGGAAGGAAGGAGATAAGAAGCTTGAGGCAACCACAAATAGCAGATTTAGAGTTCCCTAAGGGTTAATTATGTTTCTTTTCTTCCCCACCTAAAACGAAAACCAAACTTATATTGTTTAGAAGGCTGAAAACAAATGTATTTTCTTGATTGTTCAAAGACCTTTAAATATTATACTTTTCTAGAAAGCAGAATATGTGCTAAACATCTACCTATTCAAATATAATTTTTATGTTCTTGTGATCTCTTCATAGCTTTTATATTTTTTAAATAAGACATCATCTTGACCACAACAGAGAAAAATCTGAGACTTAATTTTAAAGCTTTGGCTTCTAAAATGATTATTACTTTCACTTTGCTCTTTTCTCTTTACATTTTGTTTTCTTTAAATAAATATTTATTGTTCACCTATTATGTTTAAGGTCCTTTTCTGGAAATATGGAACCACATGTAAACAAAAGACCAACATTCTTGCCATCAGAGAGCTTATAGACTTAGTGGAGAGAGAACTAATAATAAATTAGTAAAACAAGTATTATATAAAACAACAATAAATGTAATGAAGGAAAATACAACAGGAAAGGGAGGTGAAGAGACCCAGCAGACCTCTGTGAGTGCAGTGAGGGACTTCAGTTTTAGATAAGATGGTCAGAGAATGTCTCACTTATAAGGAAAATTCTCACAGAGACCTAAATACCATTTTAAGTATCCTTTCTCTATGAAGTGCTCACAATCCCTGTTTCTGAAATGGCAATCTATAGTAACGATGGCATGAGTTTATATCCACTGTGACAGAATGCTTTCTAAATTATTTGTACCATTGCTCTCTGCTAAACTGAGGATAAGTTGAATAGAGGCACAACCTGAATATCTATAATTTATATGACTCTCTGCCAAGGCTGTCAACAAAAGCTAGTAGAATTCATCTGCAGTTTCACATGACCACCTGAGTTTTTGCAAATTAACTATGCTTATCTTGAGGCAGAACTTTCATTTCCCCCCTTATTAGTGGCAAGTTGGGCTTGTATTCCTATCTGCAGACTGCAACATGTGTCTGTCCCATAGAGCCACTGGCCCGGCCCCATATGTAGTGAGATTATAGCAATGGGAAGGGCTTTTGCGGGAAAAATCAGAATGTGGTCCAGGTTTTTTTTCACCAGATTTCTTCCCATTCTTCAGCTTGGAGAGCTTTCTGTTTCATTGTTCCATATATACTCCTGATCAGTTATTTCTTTATCAGTATCCATTTGGTGATGACTTTTTTTTTTTCAAAATAATTTTGCTTGTTTTTTGTGCATAAATTTGTCAGCCAAAAATACATTTAATGATGAAAGAGGGCTCTACTTTATAACTATTTAAGAAAATAGGCATAACAGGTGAACACAGACAGGTATGGACTCTATTTCATCCTCAGCATTGTAGGTATGGTGATCTTGCATATATCTAAAAATGCTAGGAAGCATGCATGACCCTAGCACTGATCTCATATTCAAGAAGCTGACATAGCCACAAATCTGGCAGGGACTTATCTGTGCTCCCTCCATCTAGAAATCCTTGGAGATAATGTAAAATGACAAGATTAAGTATTGTTGACATTATATTTGTAATCACACTGTATGGCTTAAACATTAAGGAGTTTACTACAGAAATTTTTGTTATCATTGTGGTTAAGTTGTGTAGATCTTTCTTTGACTGATTTAATGTAAGACAATAATAAGTAAACCAGCTTAATTTCAAAAGCGTCCAGCCATTGCATCGTGAAATGCCAGGGAGGCCTATGTGCTTGCTGAGAGATGCCTTTGCTTGGTTTGCAGGACCAGTGGTTTTGGCGAGTGAGAAACAACAGGGTGATGGATGGATACCCAATGCAAATTACTTACTTCTGGAGGGGCTTGCCTCCTAGTATCGATGCAGTTTATGAAAATAGCGACGGGAATTTTGTGTTCTTTAAAGGTAAGGATGTTTTCCATATCTGGCTATGTTGTATTTTAGTCATTTTGTATAGGGCCCTGTGGTGCACACAGAAGTGATTAGGTGAGATTAGATAGCTAATGGATTTAATGAAATAAAGTATGTTGACTAGAAATATAATTGAAATAAAAATAATTTTCAATTTTTATTTTATTTGTTCTCATATGGTAGTCTCATGTCAGATTTAAGAGATATTCTTTCTCTTAGAACTTTTAGATTTGACTTAAAAGTACCAAAAAATTAATTAATACATAAATAGCCATTACTACACTTACTAAAGGTTTGCTTGTTTGTTTGTTTGGAGTATTTGGAGTTGCTTGTGGGTTTTAGGCAATAAAATCTGTTACACTCCTATTTTCACATGTAATCTCTGAAATTTTACTTGATTTAATCAGTTTATGTAAACAGATTCTAGTAAACTGAGAAATAAAGGCAAGAAAAATTTAGAATTATCCACTTATCAGTATCATTAAATGTATTGTCTGTTATGTATCTGACTGCCAAATTTTAATCTCACAATTACTACCAACTGTCTGGCATGCAAAAGTGAGATGACCTGATGAAGTGAATTTAGTCAATTGCCTATTATTTTGTCCTCAAAACTTGTTAATATTCAAAACAACTGATCTTAAATCTGTGGAGGAAAACACAGAGACAAGAGACAGATTGAGCTGGAGGACTGAGGGAATTGTGAAGGGAATGTGTTTGAGCTGAAGCTGAGAAGAACTCGAGTGTAAAAGTACATGATTGAACATATTACCCAAGAGCCTAAAGGCCTGAAAATAAGCTTATACAGGACTAGAGCCCAAAGGAAGGAAAAGGGGGATCTTAATCCCTCAAAAAGCAATTATTCTCAGAATCAACCTAAAATAATTCATAGCAATGATGAGGGTAATGAAAACATGGAATTTGGGAAACACTTGTAATATTTAAAGTAAGGCTCAAACTACCTATATAAAATGAAAGTATACACCTGGACTTTATCTTTACAGATTGTTCCTCAATAAAAGAGGCAGTTCAGTGCATTAGCTGTAAGAACATGATAATTCTATGGCCATGTTGCCAACTTTAAACACCAGCTCTATGAACTAAACAACCTACTCAGGTCTCTTTACCTCAGTCTCTCCATCTGAAAAAAAAGACATTTGTATTATTCCCCATCTCAGAATTATTTTGAGGACTAAATTAATTACTACATGTGAAGAGCCTGGCACGTACAAGCCCTCAGTAAATGCCAGCTATTGTTGCTGCTAGTAAGATTGCTGCTAATTTTCTTGCCTTCCTGCTGTCTATAATAAGCATATTAAAAAAAGTGAGCGTGCACCACACCACTATGGACAAAGCAAGGATACCACCTAAAGGCTGTGAATCTTAGTGACATGATATTGGAGGGGTATTCCCCTCTCCTACACCCTTCCTGGGTCCCATGAGTAGCAACAACAAAAAGAAGGGCAGGTTAAGTCCCGACAAGCCTTCCACTTGGAGACTGTCCCAGGAGGCCCTGTCTCCTCACAGGACCAGTAGTGCCTTCTGACAAAACTGCCTGAGGAGAAACTGCCACAGTCATAAATTCCTGTTCTGACAGCTCTTTATTGCCTCGGGGCCTTCTCACTTTTATTCGCTTTGCTGCTCCTCACTCTCTTGTGGCATGGCTGGCTCCTTTTCATCTTTCAACAGCCAGCATAAAAGCTTGTCCTCCAGTGCCCTCCCTGCCCACTCTATGTAAGTAGTACCTTCTAACTTGCACAAAGCATTTGTAAAAAATTGAAATTACCCATACCATTCAAATGGAAATTGCATGAGAGGTGGAACTTGTTTATATTTTCTTACGTGTCATTTTATTTTCAGTTTCTAAAAGTGATGGGTGCATAGTAGGTTCTCAGTAAACATTTCAGTAAAAGCAATATCACTGAATACTGACTTGACTCAGTATGGTGTTTCCTATGCTATGGTGCTTACAACAGCAATCACTTCGTCTTTTGTCCCAGACTTATGTCACCTCCAGAATGTTGAGCTTGTCAGTGGTCTCTTCTGGTACATTGCCAGCCTCAGGAAATACCTACTCTTATAAATTTTGTCACTTTGAGGACCGTGCTGTGGTGGCTTTTTCCTCCAGTTTACTCTCACCACCACCTTCAAATAAACCCTCTCAAAACCCAGCGATGACCTGTAGCTCTCCCGCTCAATAAAGCATTGATTATCCAGAAACAGTCAAGTTCTAGGTGTTCCCAGTGAGACCACACTCTTCCCTAGTCTCTACCTCACGACTGGCAGGAGAGGAGTGACAGTCCCAGCACCCTGGGCTTCTGATGTGAAATGACCCCCTCCACTACCCTCACCACAACAATCACAATCAAAATATTTCTCCTTGACACACTCTTTATGGCCCTTATCACCCTCAAAAGACCAGAAACCTACATCATTCCTCATCCCACATTGTTACTCCAGTTTGCTCTATGGGCCGTGAGGTAGTTGCTGCCCCTTTGCTAGCAGTTGATCCCCTTCCCTGCTTATGCTTAACTCGTGACAAACCGTGTGGCAAGCTATATATTTTAATTGTTTATCTTTCTCACTAGAATATCAATCCCATAAAGGATAAGTATTCTTTTTTTTTTTTTTTGTACACTGTCTTTTTCCCAATATCTTAAACTGGGCTTTGACAGACTTTTTATGTAATGACAAAATAGCAAATATTTTAGGCTTTGCCACCCATATGGTGTCTATTATATACCTTTCTTTGTTTTGTGTTGTGTTCTAACTTTTAAAAACGTAAAAACTATTCTTATATCATGGGCTGTGCAGAAGCAGGCCATTGTCATAGTTTGTTGTCTTAAACAATACCTGGAATATAGTAAACACTTGACAAAGATTGATTGAATGAACCAAGAATAAGATTCAAGCCCCAATTTGGTTTCAACCTCTGCAAGCCATATTAGACAGTATTAGACTATTGTTACTAGTGATTTAGACGTTATTCTTCTTTAATTTACTCTTTTATTTAGCCTCTATGCCTTACATTATTTCTCTTTGTTTTCCCCTTCTCTCTCTTTACAGAGATCATCTTTTATGTATTTTCTTCTTCTAATCTGTGCTAGAAAATTATGATATATTTGAGTAGCTTTGTCTTTTATTCCCCTATTTAACTAAAGTCTATGTTTGAATATAAATGTATTTATGTATTTCCTAAAGGTACTGGGTATTAACCTTGTTTTCATTTTGCATAAGAATTTGAAGATGTAGATTCAACTATGTGTATAAATGAGTGTTTGGTTATTAAATATAACTATTGTGTTAGTAATATAAACATAAGCATAAAATCTATTCATTTGAAATTTTATAAATTAAGAAGAATAAGAAGCCATTAGATACAATTAAAATTTATATTTTGGTGTAATTCAGATATTTTTTGAACTTTAGCCAAATTATATGTGTACATGTATATCATATGAGTGGGAGTTGTCAGTACATAAATTATAAAAACATAAAAACTTGTTCTTTATATATGTGTCCAATTCTATATTCTGAACATAATCTTAGCTTTTTGATATGTTAAAATATGGTATATCAGAATATAATGTAATATATTATGTGACAGTATAATAAAATGGTGGATTCTGCTTCCATTCAAGATGTAATAATAGGAATCAGATTTATCTTTCCTCCTGAAACAAATAAAAAATGGGCAAAGTATTTTAAAGCATGATTTTCGGAGACACTGGGCATCAAGAAACAGGACACTGAATCCTGAGAGTCAGGAAATAAAGGGAGATGAGCCCTGAAATTGCCACAGCTTCCCATCTGAATAATTTACAGGCTGTGGCACAAGGTAGGGGAACCCAGGCAGAGCTCAGAGACTTTCCGAGTAGAGGAGACAGAGCTGACAATTCAGGGAGAACAAGGTGACTTCAGTGCAAAGGAGACAGTAACACAGAGGAGAGAGCTACACAAGAGTGAGGGCCGGAGATTAGCAGATGGACCCCATATGTATTGGAGAGAGTATTGGTCAGCTCATGTCTATAAGGAAACTGCTCAAATCTAGAAAATGAATCAATCACTGTGAATAAAAAGAGCAGTGCCTGACATTCAAAGAGGGCCAACAGTACCTGCTTCCCCCAACAACCTGTTCATAGGCATTGGATAGAGTATTGAAAAGGGCCTTGCCTCACTGGTGGGGAATAATTACCCTAGAAATATCCCTGTTTGAATTCTACTTAGCAAATCTTCAAAGTAAGACCTGAAGCCATCAAATGGTTTCCAAATAACAGTCTAGAACAAAGCTCAAGAATATTTATAGGGATTCAGAGATATTGACCTAAAAAGGCAAAATTCACAATATCTTGCATATCCCCTAAGATCAGGAAAGAGACAAATGTTTATTTCAAGTCTGTTCAACATTGTAACAAGTTTTATCTAGTGAAGTAAATAAAAATAATCCAGACTGGAAGGAAAGAAAGCTGTATTTAGACAACATGACTGATATAAAACAGTAGTAAAATGGTTCCATGGACATAATTGTCTATGTAGAAAGAGATAGTTTTGCCTTCAACCAAAAAGCTTCCAGAAATGATAAGTGAGTTTCTCAAAGTTACAAGATACAAGACTAGTAAAAATTTAATTGTATTTTCTGTATATTTTCAAGAACTGTAAAGGGTCTGAGATTTTTATCTTCCTTGTAAGCTAATAAAACCCTGTTAGCTTGCCTCATGTTCATGTATGTTGACAGAAAACATGAGATTCCCGAGTCAGAGAAAAGGCCAGAAACCAAAAGCAGGAGCCATAGTGTAGTCACCTGTACTTGTTCCCAAAACCCCAGTCTTAAAAGTGTGATATGAGGCTGGGCACAGTGGCTTATGCCTGTAATCACAGCACTTTGGGAGGCCGAGGTGGGCAAATCACAAGATCAGGAGATCCAGGCCAGCCTGTCTCACATAGTGAAACCCCAGCTGCCTATAGTCCCAGCTACTCAGGAGGTTGAGGCAGGA